GGACCATCTATTTTTAAGATATGCATATATCTATAGATTTGTTTGATTTGAACCACTTTTTTTAGTTTAAAATTTTATAATTAGGAATGCATATAAATTTTAGGGCCATCTTAAAAATTTTAGACACCAAAATTGCATCTTACGAGTTTGGAACTGCACCTTCCATTGAATGTTTAAGGTTACAACCTTAGGCAAACCTCACCCAAACTTAATTCGACCTAAATCTTTTTTTTTTTTTGGCCCAATTCTAGACTGACTGTCCGTATTATCAAACAATTCAACGTTTTAAAAATCAATAATCTGGATCGAAATCCACATTAGGAATCAATTAGGCCGATCTGGATCTTGCTAAATATCATAACCAATTGGTTCCACCCAAGAACCAGCCACAACCGGTCCCACTTTATTTTTTAATATTTTGGAATCTTTCATCCCCTCTTTTTAAAAAAAAATAAATTATTCCCCAATTTTTAGGCCAGATCGCTGATCTTGGACCGCTAATCCAAACCGGTTTTCTGGAGGGGCGATACAAGTCACGGAACCATCGAACCATGTTTTTAAACCTTGGCCTAGAGAATGGTATGAAGCATATGGTTATAGCAATGGGCAAGGTTGGCCATGGTCCTACTTGGCCCAAGGGATGGTCGGCCTTTTGACAAGGCAGTCAGTCCCAGCCCAAACCTCCTTTATGTGTTTGGGTCGGGCTGGGTTGGTAGGGCCAAGGAATGGCTAGCCAAGGTCTGGCCCAATGGGACATATGTCGGCCCAGACCCAGGCTTAGGCAAACGAGGCCAACATGGCAGATCCTGCCCACCCATCCCACTGCCTGGCCTACTATAGTTATCAATGAGCATAGAATAGCTATGGCCATTCATGCCATCACCGTCCAAGCAATTGATGAATAATGATGGAAAAGACATGACATGATTGAAGCGGTAGGTAGAATTTACCCATCCATCAATTATTTGGATGGTGATTATACATGACCATAGAGAGCATATAGTCATCGCAGTACAATAGTCATCACAGTACACCAACATTCACAAGTTAAATACTTGAGGCAACTTTTCTTGCTATATTCTCATTTAGGGCTACGACCTTCACAAACTCAAACACTCAAGTATGCACTCTTTCCCTTCATTTTGTCCATAATGTCCATAAGGACAAATTTAGCACTTTTGTGAAAATATTTTCACACGAAAGAACTCCCTTTCGTGATTAAGTAGGAACATTTTCACACTAATTGGCAGCCGATTAGTGTAAAAAAAATACCGTGGAACCAACTGATGTGAAAAAAACTCTTACACCTTATCACACGAGAGTTCTTCCACATGAAAATACTTTAATGAAAATATTCTCGTGCATACTAAACATGCCCTCAGTTTGCTTGCCTACTTATAACTCTCCTCTAGTGGACCACAAATAAAGCATAACCTGCACAGTCTATATAAATGAATGGTAAAGATTGCACCTAAACTGAGAGGGGAACCAGTAACCAGTAGCTCCAGTCCCCATCTCTCACAATTTCTTTTCACACAAGTCATTGATTTAGCATACTCATGTTTTGAAGAGAAATACATAGGTAAGCTGCAAATGCAAAGCAATGTCAAATCTGTACATTTAAACCTGGGCTTAAATCTCCATGATTGCGCTTTCCTTGTAAAAGCCCCGTTTTTTAGCGAAGTCACTTCTCTATTAACAGTTACAAATGAGGAGCAGAAGCAAGATAGGAATCCATATATTGGAATTTCAGAGAGCTCTTAGCTAGGCTCCAAATTGGCCATTCAAGGTCTTTAGTTTCAGAGTGTGTGATTTCTCCCATTGATCAGGTTTTAGAATCTGGCAGTCCAAATGGTAAAGAAAAAGTTGTGATTTCATTACAAAGTTTTTCAAAAGCTTCTGAAACTGCCCAAATAACCGTTTATGGAGAAATTCCCCCATTAATCGAGATTAGTAAAAACTGAACCTTAAAAAGATTTATCAGTTCTTGAAATAAGGCAAAATTTGGCAGCCGAGTGTCAACAAAATCTAACTGCAAGCAACGAGACTTTAGAGATTAATGGTCACAGAGGCAAGAGGGCCTTGACTGCTCTGAAACTCGACTGGATCTAGATTAAGGTTTCTCCTTCTATCTGGCTACTTTCTCCTTGCATCTGGGATTTGACTTGATCTAGGGTTTCTGTCTCTATAAATGGTGTATTTCCACAACACTCATGTTTTGGAGTGCTTGCTTCTCTTGGTGTTGAGGTTTTAGGGTAAATGGATTGTAAACACTACGTTAACAATGCTTCGGCTAAGTTCTACTATTCTCTATTTTCTCTATTCTCTGTAACTTCACTTTTCCTTTAAGGTTTCAATGTGAATCTTTGTTTAACAAATGCGATGTATTGAAATGAGATTTCATTTCATTGTTAACCATCAAATTTTGGGTAGATGATTTGGTCCACCCCAAGAAAGAGACGTTAGAGAGACGTTAGAGAGAGCTTAAGAAAGAGAAACTTAGTAGATAGGGAGAGCAGGGCAGGCCCGGTCCGGCCCAGTCCTTGCCCTAGTACCCATAAGGCTCGCCCAGATCAAGCTGGCCCCGACTGAGCCAAAGAGGCCCTTGCCCTTGCCCTGGCCCTGGCCCAACCCTAGCCCTATCAGGACCACACCAGGCTGCGTCAGACCATGCCAAATAAAACCAAAAAACAATAAATTAAAAAACAAAGAAAAAGACGGCCAGGGCCTAGGCCCGGCCCTACCCTCAAATGATGGTCGCCATGCCCTAGCCCAGGCCTCCGGCTACATTTTGTGGCCCAGGCACTAGTTTTTAAGGGCCACGCTGACTAGGCCGAGCAGGGCCACCAAGCCCATTGCTACCCCTAAGAGAGAGAGCACGTTCAGGTATAGAGAGTCATTCTAGAAAAGAGATTTTCTGCCATAAGGGAATAGAGACTCAGATCCCTTGTTGCTTGTTCTGAAATTTAGGTGCAATCCAAACTGCTTCCGATTTACAAAATGATCAACAAATCTATTTCATTATTCATGATAAATTATGGACAACTTAACTAGGCACATAAAAGATGTGGTACCGTAGTGCCTTGTGTTCGCAAATGTTCGCAGATGACATGGTTTTAATCCATGAGACCCGAAACGGCATAAAAACAAAGTTAGAAATTTTGAAGGATGCTTTAGAATTTAAATGTTTTAAAATTAGCAAGACTAAGACAGTATATGGAATGCAAGTTTAGTAATAATAGTAGAGATGAAGAAGTAGTTAAGATTGACGGCCATGAAATAACGAAAAGAGTGCATTATCGATATCTTGGGTTGATAATCCATGAAAACAGGGAGATTGGGGAAAATATAGCATATAGAACTAGAGTTGGGTGAGTGAATTGGAGATGTGCAACCAAAATTTTATGTGATCGCTGCATACCAATATAGTTGAAGAGCAAGTTCTATAGGACTGAAATGAGACCAGCATTGCTCTATAGGACAGAATGTTAGATGGTCAAAAAACAATATACCTATAGAAAAATATAGTGGAGATGAGGATGTTGAGATAGATGAGTGGTAAGACAAGCAGGGATAAAATTCGAAATGAATGCATTCGGAAAGATTTAAGTGTTGTACCAATAGGCGATAAAATGAGAGAAATTACGTGGGCTGGCCATGTATGACGCAGACCAAGTACAACACCTATTAAGAGGTACAATTTAGTTCATGTGGAAGGCTCTTAAATTGCAGCCCAAAAGGACATGGTTGGAAGTAGTGAGAAAAGATATGGGCACTTATAGCCTAATTGAGGGTATAGCCTTAATAGAGCTCAATAGCATACCAAGATTCACCTAGCCGACTCCAATTAGTTAGGAAAAGGCTTTGACGATGATGATCAACAAATTTATTTCATAAAAAATCTTCCAAAACTAATTTTTATTTAAGGCAGTTTAGCATAGGATTCAATCTTGGGAATTAGTGTGCAACTATTAGACTTTAAATCAGTGACTTATACGCAAATTCACATGAGTCAGCTTGGGATCAGAAGCTAGGCAATTCTAGTGGGAAAAAAAAAAAACAAAAATATCAAATTCTCCTCCTTTCTTTTCATTTTCTTTGTTGAACATAGCCTGATCGTACTCAGAAATCTTCCAAATCCAGCCATAAGTATTGGAATCAGACTCCTTGGCAACTCAAGGGCCCATTCCAATTTTTTAAACACTGCCTTGAATAATCAATCCCAACCCTGATGGTCGGTTTCATGATTCGCCTTCATCCTTGCATAGGGACCATGCTAATCTTCATTTCATTCAATGGCTCCAAGGAGACATCCAAAACTATGAATCACGATATCTCACATGATAAAGTTTCATTCTCATTTGCTCCATTTCTTCCTCTATTCTTTCAAGCTTTTTGAAAAATTGGCTATAAGATCTTACTATTTCCTGTTACATCCATAGTATAGTACCGAAAGTGCCTTCCTTGTGGGCTACTTTGCCCCTGTGCAGTCCTCCTAGATATCAGCCTCTTGCCCCCAGGGTGAGCTCCAAATCCCTAATAGTAAATTGCAAGATCATGGACCAGTTTTCCCCCGTGCATGCCTTGCTAGTTTATGTTCAGGCTTAACCACCCAAGTTAGTGAAAACCTAGTGGCTGGCTCAAAGCTTCTTCAAACTAGAGTTTTCTGTTGGAGAGAGGGCTCACTATAAAGTCGAATGTGTTCATGAAAGACAATAAGGGTCTACACTATTTTGATTTATCCCACTTCCCTGTGCATCTTTTGTAATTCTTTTTTCCGGGAGTTTTCCCCCCTTTGCTTCACGTCTCCCTTAACTATTTCAGAATTAACCGAGAAGATTAATTGGACGGACAACCCAGATTATTTCTATAGAGTGTGTGCCGTCTAATCTCAGCCTTCCATCCACCATGAAAAACAAAAAAGAAGAAAGTGCAAGACAAGACTAACCCTCCTGATCTCCTCATGAAAAAAAGCCAAAAGGTTCAGGGACACAGGGAAAGAAGCAAACCAGGGCCTCCTTTCAAACATTTTATTGACATGAATATGATGAATCAATCACACGTGCCACTGTCCTTCCTGTCTATCTCAACAAAGAAATAATCATAAACAACAAAGGCAATTGCAAATTTTAAGGAACAGGGAGGAAATAAGTCCCACTTTTCCCGGACAAAAAGATTCTCATTTTCCCTCTTTTTTCTCATTTTCCCACTTTTTTTGTTTTTCAGATGTATTTCTTTACTTACAGTATAGAATAAGCTCGGATAACCTCAACAATGGGGGCACGACAAAGAGGACACTTGCCTCCAGCTCGAACCAGCTCATTCGCACACTTTGAACATGTACACATGTGTCCACACCTGCAAAAACAGCAACAAAATCATACCCACCAAAGTTTTGCATGGAAACAAGATTCACTGCAGAAAAGAACTCTAAACATTCTTAAAATCGTATTTATTTCATCCTCGGTAAGGACTAATAGTCAATAGTCCAATGGACTTGGCCAACGATAGTCCTGTTGGGTCTCACTCTCCCTCCATCATTTCATGATGGCCACAATACCAATGGACTTCCATTTTCCACAGTCCACTGGATTAAGGTCCTATCTTCCATTCATTCTAATATTGCAAAGAATTTGACGTGGGTGAAAAGAGGACCTGTACAGAAGAGAATCTATATGACTGTCGCAACAAACGCAACAAGTCCCTTTCCTCACATTCCCCCATTTTGATCCATCCTCTGAAGACCCCTCTCTCATTCCTGCAATATATACAAACAAGTAGAATGTGAGATTCTCAATAGAATTTTGAATTCCAAGCTGTCTTCTTTAAATAATGGTCATTCAAAACTTCACCACAAGGGTTCCCAAGGAAAACCATAACCTCAAATAGAGAAGGCATATCTAAAATGCAGGTGTCAAACCCAACCATATTTGCTCTCATAAACCAAATCATTAATTTAAAGTCCAAAAGAACTGTGGTGTACTGGTGTCCGCATTTTCAAAGGATAAATATTGAAATGACCAGCTTGCTCAATGACAGGTCACTTCAAACATAGGCTGGTCATGGTATCATAAATTTTTAGCAAAAAATAAACAGCGAAACCCTTTTATTTTTATATCAGTGCACAAATAAGTCCTCAAACAAAGATAAGTGAGTAGAGCTTGTATTAAAACTGTCTATGAAGTAGTTTGTCAAAATCCCTCCTTCCCATTAGCACTTGGGGAGAAACCAAAGGGAATGCTTATCCATTTCACGAGTCATCAATCATACCCAAACAATGTATCAGATCTAAGTGTCAGTCACAAAACTCGGATCAGAAAACCTCTAATAGAACCAGTTTGTACATAAAAATTGCAAAGGCTTTTTTTTCCATGAAGAATTGGCCATATCAAGTAGCATCTATATTGTAAACTTTAATTTTCAAAGTTTGGTTCTGCAAGGGTGACATTGTAATCTTGGATTGAATCAGTGTTTTAAAAAACGGTTGGGTCAGTGGCTAGGCAACACCCAGAGGCCCCCAGAGCTCTGAAAGACCTCCATCCTGGGAGGGCCCCAATTGGTCGCCCACCTAGCCTAAGCAGGCGCCTAGGCGCGCACGCACACACACAGAATGGGAAAGGGGCCAGGGGGATCATTGGAGCCTTATATTGTGGCATGTCATATCCTTCCAAAATTGCTACTCTCTTTCAGAATAGTATTCTGAATTATGGAACATTCAATTACCCTCTATTCGTTTCCTACTGCACATACATTTAAGTTCACAATATCAGTCCTATTAGTAATCGAAATTATCTTTAACCTTCGAAAATTGCTACCCTCTCCTTCACAATTCAGTTTTGAATGGTGGGGCATACAATTATTCCTTTGTCAGTTTCCTAATTCATGAAATGCACTTTTGGATCGTACATCCAGGGCTTGTTTCGATGTAATCGTTATCATCCATAATTCATTGCTTCAATAAAATTACTCCTGATAATCAATTATTTGTTATTTGGCAGTGTTCATCATAATATTCAATGACGATAATTAGCTGAATATTACCCAAAAAATTCAATAATTAAACAATTATATATAATACAAAGTATGCACCAAACAGCTACCAAAATAATAACATACCAAGTACATTAATTTCAAATAAAATAGTCTGATCCTGATGAGATTAACTGTAACCCAAATAGGCCCCAAGTGCACTATACAAGTGAATTTTTAGTAACTAAAACTACCCTTAATAAAACAAGAGGCAGCCTCCTAAGTGGAAGGAGGGGGGAGAGAGTAATTATGAACCATACCCCAACCCCAAGAGAGAGAGGGAGTAATTATGAACCATTCCCCAACCCCCCAAAACGCCCCCCCACTGCCTTCATTGCGTTTACAGTTCCTCAAACATGAGCCCTTTGAGATGCCACCTAAGTGAAGGGAAACTCCGACATTTTCCAACATTTTTAGACCTATAATCATAGGCCTTTTTCCTTTTCCTTGGCTATGCTTATTCAGAAAATGAGAAAGAATTAATCTCTGTTTTGTCATATGACTCAACCCCACTATTACTTCTTTTCAAACAGGCAGCTTTAATCTGCATGAACTTAATAGCTTGTTAAATACTCTCCAGAGTGAGCACAGAGCCCAGCATACTATCCACAGTCATCTTAGTTCAGACTTAGGGTTAGAAAATCACCAGATTGACCAACAAAGCTAATGTTTATGAGGAATCTATGAGGAACCATAACAAGCAGCCAGTTGATCAATAACAATTTGACACTTTCACTTAATTGAAATTCAACAACTCATCCATCACAGGGCAACTTCAAACTGAAATGGTTTGTCAATTGAATTCCCCTATTCTTATCCCACAATTTTATCCAATAATAAATACAAGAAGATCCAAAATCCATTATTACATTCATTTTCATACTACAATATAAAATCACATTAAAATTATCAGAAACATTTATAAAAAAAAATCAACGAAATATAACAAAAGAATACGAAAGCCACAAAAGGTAGAATACAACTGATATTTAGGGATTGATTCTCTCAGTCTTAAATAAAATCCCCAACGTCTAATATAGCTATTGGGCTATGCAAAATCATTTTTTAACTGACGAAAGGATGGGGTGCATAACCCAGCTAACTTACCCACCAAAAATAAAAAAGAACACAGTACAACCAACAACAAGATGGAAAAGAAAATGAATTTAAGTGCATGCTTAATTTAAAAATGTACAAGGTACAAGTATCCCTTTGTTAGGATTGCGTCAGGGAACATGAAGTAAATTTTTGGGAAATAGCATGAACATCAATCAAATGACATCTGTGACACCACAGCAAACTTCATTTATAGAAAGTTTAACAAGTAAGGTGTTACACATGTAAAAATGTAAGAACCATGTTGACTCAATTTTTAGGACCAATAAATTTCAGCAGAAACTAAAAATAAGTCCTCAGATCCATAGAAAAACTCCGTTTCAAACGTGAGTTTTTCAACAGTATAATATAAGTATGCGAATGATATTACAAAAATATAGATGAAGCACCAATGCGCATACATATAATGCCACTACACTAACTATGAATGGGCGTTACTACACTAACTTTGAATGTGAGTTATGACAATAAACATGCCCAACACATTAAATGATGCATTAGATCACCAGTGAGAACTCTAATTCTTTTAGTAAAACATGAAGTTTTTAGCGATGTTCTTTCATCGGTCTGTATTGTTATTTTATTTTATTTTTCAGAAGGATGTTCAGGCCATGTATGTGCACTAGCATCTCTTGTACAGGGATGAAGGCGCTGCACTACCTAAATAAAATCTCTCCTCATCATAAACTCAAACGCTGCAATTGAATGGCTAAACAATTCTTCCTTTCTTTTCTTTCATCTTCTTTTTCCCTTTTCTATTAGAAGTTTGGATGGCCGACGAATTCCAACAAGGAAGTTGGTTATACATGGGGCACAACAGATTGTTTTTTAGGCCATGGACATTTTGGTAGTGTTTCATAACAAACAGGGTTACCAAAGTCTATCGTCCATGAATATCAAAGCCGACCAAGAAGGGTTGTTTTTCCACTCCTAAATGGGTGCAGGGGAAAAACAATGGCTCCTTTCCCAAAAGTTGGTCCATCCTAATGGGGAAAGGAGAAACTAAACAAAGCAAAAACAACTATATAGTTGCCCACGACAAGTAATCATTGATCATTCCAAATAACATTGCAAATAATCACAAGACAACCAAGAAAAAAGAAAAACTATTTCAAACCACACTGCAATGGATGCCAGAGCGTAAATGCCGCACAATAATGAACGCAAATAATGTATGGCATCTTAACCATACAACAAAAATTCATTCCATTATTTTGTAATCACAGAAATTAAAGGCACCAATGTTCTTAACAATGATGCCACAAAGGAAAATCTGTAAACAGAAACATAAATATTAGAGATATAACAGATGTTCAGAGTACAAGAAACCAGCATTCAAAAAAACGGACCGCCCGGTGCCTAGGCATCCAAGGGGCCTCGGGGCGCACGCCTAGGCCTGGCCTCGGGGCGCACGCCCAGGGCCATGGCTCCTTTTTCAACTTTTCAAAAGCCCAAAAGGGCAAATGGGGTAATTTTGACCCCATAAAAGCTTAAATAGATTATGGGGGTTATTTTCGACTATACCTATTTTTGAGAATCAAAAATTTTAACTTTGAACTTTTTTTAAATTTACCAATACATAGCCTAGTAGACTATTACTAATATGTACCTCTATTAGACTTTTTAACTTCTTTAAAATTTAGTATGCTTTGGATTTTAAAATTTTGAACAGGTTTATTCTTAATATGTGATATATCATACGTTTGTATATAAAAAAGGTATGTTACAATACATACAAATGCAATAAATTACAAAATTGACACAAATATATGAATATATGTCCGTTTAGACAGCACATATATTTATATATCTAAAGAATTTGTACTCCAGGGCGTCTGAGGTTCTGGGCAGCCTCCTAGAGTCTTTTGAAACCTTGAGAGAAACTTAGTGTTTGTGGTATTTTTTCGTAAAAAATAAGTTGAGGTTATTTTTGGAAAAAAAAAAACAATTAGGTAAAGAAAAATAATTCGAGGTATTTTTCGCTAAAAAAATAAATTGAGGTACTTTTTGCAAATTAGAATAAACTGAGGTATTTTGCATTTGAAAAACAAATTGAGGAATTATTTGGAAATAAAGAATAAAATGTGGGATTAAGACTCAAATTCAATCTGATTTTCCAACTAAATGACATTAAGTTGCACACAATCATCGACAATGGTTTTGCTTCTGAATACCTAAGAGCTTTTCTTGACAAATCACTAATATTTTTCTTTTTTCCATAAGATAATGAACTACTATACAGGGCTGATAATTTAAAAGGCAATGGAAGCCTACTGACCTTGTCCTTCGCCTGAACGATTTAATGCTGCTGAAACTTCTTGTCTAACAGAACGCTGTAACTCTAGCTGCATATCCATACAAGCCTCCAACATCCGCTGCATATGGCTCATCCCTTGCTGAAGCCTAGCCATGTCAGCCCTCAAATCATTAATAATCTCCCACTCCTGCATCACATGGCACCAATGTTTGGCTTAATCTACCGCCCACAGTGAAATGACACACAAAAGATCTGAATTTCTGCAACTTCAATCAAAATAATGCTTCAGTCTAGAATTTAGCCAAGCACATTTTGTCAACGCCTAATGGATAAAAGAATAGATTGTCTTCATATATATTAATATGAAGCAATGCACAAAAACTTCTGTGAGAAACAAAGGAATCATCCGTGTCTGGACTGAGCTCAGCTGGGTGTGTAATCTTTATGACGAGAGAAGGCATTGACTTGACAGTCATTTTAAGAACCACATAAGTCAAAGTCATTCGAGTATCATTGACAGCACCACTGCAAATTACATGACTACTTAAAAAAATAAAATTTAAACCAAATAAATAAATAAAAATCAAAGACCTAATGAATCAACTAGGACTTGGCATGTTGACTTGATTCAGGGCGAGGCCAAGTCCTAAGTCGAGTCTAAGTCTTAAAACTTAGTGAAAAGAGGCAAAAATGGATGGCCTAAACACAAGTATAATATGACCTTCACAGATAGTAGCTCGATGAGAGGAATATTACTACCCAGAAAGAAAACAAAGGAACTTGCTGATATGGAATGCCTAAAATTATAAGGGAGAAAACTAGCACTGGACTGCATAGGGTTACGATTTCATAAGACCCATCAAAAAATAAAAGCTAAACTTACATTAGCATACATTAGAACCACCTCCAGAAGTTTAAATTACATTAATTATGACTTAAGGTACAACAACTCTAATTCACATTTAAGATGTTGTATATACACATATAGACTTGGTTTATAGCTACCTAAAAGTATGTTCTTTTACTGTCATTTGGAGATTCTGGAAAGAAAAGGAACAAGAAATCTTTTGATCTATATGCTCACCAGATGTGGGACACCGATCTACATGGATCATCAAGTAGAATATCAAGCTCTTGGTCTCACAATGACAGGGCATGGATGGTGTAAAAGCAATAGATCTTCAGAAACTATGGTTGAGGGTCATTCACAATTTCTGTCTGATAAAAAGACAGGAGTATGTATCCATCCCCCAAATGTCCCTCATGTCATGGATTCAACAAAGTTGGGGGTGCACGCTATAACAAGGACCAGGAGGTCCCTTCAGGATATTAAATTGCACTCTCCACATAGGCAGAGGAAAAAACAGTTCAATCAGACCAAAATTTAAATGTGGTTTTCTCTGCTTTGCCAAGTATTAATGAATAATGAATAGTATGCACTAGACATCATCAAATGAACCAAGTGGATTTCCATTTCAATGAAAACTTACAGAAAGTTTGGGGGAATAAATGATTACCACCAACTTATTGTAGTGTTACCACTTTCCATGCTCCTTGGAAGGCAATTCAACAGAAGACAAGCAGAGAAATTCTCACAAGATAAGACAGCTCCATGAGATTATAAGCATCAATGATTTTGCTACTCTCTTCCAAATAAACATGTCTTTTGCAATTCCTCATCATCAAATTATTACTGATAACATAGATTATATAAGATCACAGCCCTAGAAAAACCAAGATTGTATCTTCTGGGACTCATACATATGCAATCCTCAACTACCATCTTAAACTTTTCATGTTTAAAAGGTAAGACAACAAATTATATCTCTAATTACTATCTTAAGTGCAGGAGATACAATCAACAGTTCAAGGAAGATGGCATACTATTTCGGCACGATGCATGCTGTGTCGAGGCCAAGTAGCTTGCTGCAGCTCCTGGTGCCAAAGAGGTGGTGGTGGTGGAACTGGTGGTGGTGGAACCACTAGCGTAGGCCTCACTACATTATTCGGAGGATCCACATTCTGATTATTCATTTCACGCTCCTCCTGATTTTGCTCCTGTGAAGGAGCTTCTGAAGGGAGGCCTCTTTGCAAATCCCAATCGATGGGTGCACGTCCTTGCCTTTGTACATATGACTGAATCAACTGGTCTAAGCTTTCGCGAAACTCACTTTCAAGAATATTTGAGACGCTTCTCCTGTCATATATAGCAGATCGGATATAAAGATTATTCACGATTGATTATTCATTTTTCCATCAATGTGAAAAATTGACTACTTATCAAATCAGTAAGCGCACTATGTGCACTACAAAAAGAAACAAAGCAAATGAAGAGGAACCAATCAAATCAAAATAACTAAACAGAATAGTAAATAGCTTCCTACGGAAAAACTTAATAATAAGAATATCAGCTAAGAAGTACTTCATAATAAAAATACCTGCTAAGAAGTTCTCTGAGTTCCATATTGTACACATTGTCATCATCCGGAGGTTGGAATCCGCTCACTCTACGAATTGGAATTGACCTTGAAATTCTCGGAGGGTTATGAGGCTCATCCTGCCAATTCTCAACTGATAACTGAGGATCATCCTCATGCCACTCCCCATGTACTTCTTCGATGAGATTAACTTCTCCATCTTCCATTGCATTTTCTCCAGTATCAGTGGGCCAATTTCCAACATGATCCTCCTCCAATGGGTCTTGCCAGTTCCCATCGAGTTCATCCCCAGCCCCATCTCGCCATTCATGGTCAGCAGATTGTTGGTTCCAATCTGTTGTTTCTTCTACAAATCCTTCACGCCAATCCTGCCCTTGCGCAACAGGTTCTTGCCAATCTGCATTTGCCGTACGAGTATTACTTTCTTCTTCTAAATGCTCTGTTGCCCGTTGAGCTTCTTCTTCATCTCTCCTTACTTGAGATTGGTCATGGTTTTCATTTGGAACCTCAGAGGAAGCATGGAATTGATCATCTCCTCCAAAGTTACTCAAATTATTGGTAGCAACAGCATCAGACTGGTTGCTAACCTGACCACGAACAATGTTTTCAAGTCTGAAACGAAATCCCTCCCTGGAACCACAAAATAATCATAAATGGAAGGACTACTGCAAATTTGAGGCTAAGGGTACAGAAAATGGTATAATTGGCACCAATACACTCTCAAAAAACCAGAGAACGTACGACAATTAAAAACTTATAAAATGTATAATTCTGAAATGGTGATGAACATCTTGAGAAACAATAGCAAATAAGACAACTTTCTTTGTCTAATTATGATGGGTTAGCACAGATTATCTACCCTTGTTATTATGATTCTATCCATGTTACGATGCAAATACAACATGTTCCACAGAAATCACAGAAATGACCAAGTCCTGCCACTAATCATAATGAGTGATGATTATAGCATGTAGCAATAAATTTCAATCATAGATTTGAGTGTGGCATTAACTGGTTAAGTTGGTGATGTTAACCAAAAAACCAAAACAGAGTTCTAGGTCAACACAGAATTAAAATGTCATATTATTGCTAAGAGATGGGCACAAGGGACTGTCCATAACATATTTGCAGCAAGCATAGAGTTAGCAAAGATGTCTCTTTCTATTTGTATTAATTTTCTCAAAATAATATGTGAATCGTGACAGTACCTATATTTTGGGGAACTTATACCACATCAATGTTACTTTTACAGGTTATCTATAATTAACTCCTTTGCATGTAATAAGTGACGAACCAAATAGTACATTCAAACAGAGTACATGACTCAGATGTAACCTCACTAGTCCTTGAAATATAAATATAATTCATCCACCCAACAAACTGCCTAAAAAAATTTTCCTTTTCCTCTTTATTTGAGCTCTCAGGGTAGTGCCATCCTGCCCGAGTGCATATGCACATCCATTTCAACAACAGAACTACATAGCCACAGCAAAAACTCAGTGCAAAGGCACAAAATATACTATGGGGTATTAACTTCGAGAAAAATATGGGGTATAAATACTTGTCAGCTGCTCCCTTTCAAAAAGCATATTTTTGAGGCCAGTCCCTTTTCCTAGTAGAAGTCGACTGACTTAATTAGGGATCATCAGTGGTATTTGGCAGAAGAAGAACAATCCCACTTTCGAAGGTCATTGAATATCCACCAAAGCTCTCAAGAAGAACATTAGAGGACTGGCGATGTCTTCCCTTGGGTTCAAAGGAATTCAAAAAGTTACCCATTCAAGAACATCTATCTATAGAGTAGTAACATCATGGCAGACACCAGTGATTGCTACTTTCAGTATCAAATTTGATGGCTGATGGCTGCTCTCGGGGAAACCAGGACAGGTGGGAATTGGTAGCGCCAAGTGGGACTTAAATGGAACCACTTCTATGCCATAATCAGGCCCTAATGAAGCTTGTGACTCCATTATAGCTGAAACACTAACCTTGCGTGTGGGTGTCAAATTTGCAATTAGTCAAGCACAGGCTGCCAATGATAGCGGAAGTAGATTTCTCAAATGCAACTTACTGGATTAGTAATTAGGCGGAGTGCATTGGAGAATTAGCCACTAGGCAGCAGAAGTTAGGAATTAGATGGTTTTCGACCAGTAATTTCCCGCCATGTGCCTTGCAGTGCTAGGGAATTTTTAGGAGGTTGCTTACAGCGATTTTCTTGGAGCAATGACTAAAACAAACTATAAAAGGTTGATTCCTACCACCAAAAGACATGACATGCCTCTTCATGCATTATACGTTCTCTTATGATCAGCCAGTCATTTATGGTTTGTATCCACCATGGACAGCTCATTTAAACTGACAAAATGAACCCCTTCCGAATAAGTGAATAACAATAGAGGCCAGGGATTGCTTTTCATTCATATTGGGAGAAGGTTAGTAAATCTCTGTGGATTGAGGCCATCAACTGGCTCAAGAAAATTCTTTCGGAGACACCCCATAGAATTCTGGAGGACAATGCCCAAAACATTACACAGGATTTTACAATATCTGTTTAAAAGCTAAATATAGAGGACCCTCAACCTTCAGATGTCAATAACAGACAGATAGATGCTTCATTCTGCCCGAAGTCCATCAAAATTCTTTTTATTTTTGGCTGAGGTTTTGTTGCCCCAAACCCACGCTTAATGTGGTGCTAGTTATGAGGTGGGTGCACACATGTGGGTTGTCCCGCCACACACAATGTGTTTAAGAAAAACAAAAGAGGGGGGAATTTCAGGGAAGGCAAACAGACCCCAACAATGATGTGTGAATACACAGATCCGCTATCAAAATGACACACTTTAGATACAGTATATTTTGCAGGTAATATCATGTTCCATATATCATAGTATCATATATAAATCTATGCATATACTGTCGCTATATTCTATAGATGTTTATATTCACAACTATCCTAAAAGCATATGGCCCTGTATCATATCTTATTGATACTGAGAAGCAAAGCACATATAACATACAAGTATTCAAGTATGTATGAGCACAAGCATATCAATATAACAGCAAAATTCTCCTTGTATAACTTATTTTGCTTTGAAATGTATCCCTATACTCTTTAAAACAAGCATCTACAAATCCCTGACTCTCAAGGCCATGATATAAACTCTCGATGATGAACTCAATACAAAGACCCTGACAATTCAGCATGCGCATTCAAATAACGTACCAATTAAAACTAGTACTTTACAAAGTAACCAACAGTATCACATTGCAAACTAGGTGCAGTGTTCTACTAACAATGGTATGGATGACAACAAGAGACATACCTTATGCCAGAAACCGTGTGCCATTGTCTAAGTTGGCCCAATTCCCTTGCTGCACCTGAAGGAGGTCTCTCATCCTCAATGGATCTTCCACTTCGTAAAAATCTACCTCGCAGCAATGACTGGATATCACATAAATAAGTGGCAACATAAATTTTACTAAATTAACAATGATGCATAGCATGCTTATATATGTTCGGATTTATAAATATTAACTACATTGGTAGATAGCATGTCTACAATTTATGCGATAAGTGCATGTATTTGTAAAGATATTTACAATTCACCTTTTGTTAATTTTAATCCTACATTATAAAGTTTAATCCCAAATCCCATACATGCAGTGATGTTTATCAGCACATCCCTTATTTAACATGTCCATGACCATATGCTCTGTATTACCTGAGTTTGGGAGAGGAGACAAGAGGATCCTGCTTGATCACCACCTTCTATCACCTTGAGAACTTAGGGTGAGAACCATGTCCTATCATTGGTGGCGTTCAGCATGTTCTGGTTATGAGAATTAGTCCTAGTATTTCTTGTAAGATTTTGCGACTATTGCTGTTTTTTTTTCTCACTTTCTTTGTGCATTACATCCTCTTCCTCTGGATCAGTTTGTATACATGTTCTTCATTAACATTCTATGCTCCCGACTAGTGTCTAGAATTGCTGACTCGGGCTCGGACTGGCCCAAGACATTTGGGACCAGCAGGGCGCCAGACTGCCAGGTAATGACTAACCCTGATAATACGGCAAGTTTGATCAGAGCCCAAAGTTGTTACGTATTTTTTAACTGAGACTTGGCTGAGTCAGGCAGTCCTACTAGGCCAAGTCTCCCTCTGACTCGGGATCTCAGGACCCTGGCAGTTCAGACCTCGAGCGCAGGTCTTTAAACACTGCCCAAACAAACTTACTTTTACTAGTTCATTATTTTCACAAGCTAGTCAAGAAAATCTGTGTGTAATTGGTATTAACATGCCTGATGTTCACATCTCTCACCCCATCCAAAAAGGTAATGCAGCTCCAACATGACTCAGAGACTGATTGAACAAAAAACTACAACTGAGTAACAGATTCTTAATACAGTAATAGCTTTGATGAAAACTTACAGAGTTCTACAGTTTCAAATAAAATAAATAAATAAATAAATAAATAAAAAAATTTACGGAGTTCTAGTGGAAACGGAACAGTAGGGAAAGATGGGCTTCACTGGTCACAGTTATGTGTAATAACAGTATCATAAGTGCTTATTCCAAGTTTTTTCATGTTTATCTCGGTTAAAATTTATACATTTGGCATATTTGTGAAAGTGGTTTTGAGTCAATAAAAGACATCAAACGCGAGTAATTTCCAATATTTCTTCAAGACATCCCAGTACATAAATACAAAAAGATTATCCATTCCTGAAGAAATACAGTCAGGCTATTAACTTGTAGCATCTCAATCTTGTTACTCAGAATTGAGTAAATGCATCATATAGTTGAACATAGTGATATACGACTATATTCAATGGTCAACGAAGAAGAGTCTCTGTTTTCTAATACAGGTAACATGTAACTGAACAAAAATAGACAGCATATACTATACATAGATTTTCATTTAGAAATTACGAACAAGAACAACAGAAAGAAAACCAGATAAAAATAGTTCCAATATAATATGAGGAAAAAAGACAACAGAAGATTATTAGTTTAAGAAGAAATAACCCAAGAAACTATGAAACATAGTTAGATGATTCTCACAACAAAGTATATGTCACAATAGCCAAAATTTGGTGAGCAATCACATAGTATACATCAAGTGAAAAGCGCGGATGTGCTTGTATAAAATCGAAGCATAAAACAAATAACGAGGGGCAGAGAAATAATGCCCATGTCACAAAACTATGAAACAAGGACGAGAGAAAAAAAAAAGAGCATATAGATTTTGCAAAGCTAAGAACTCACCTGGATGCGGTTACGATGAGCAAAGTCTGAAACCGCCCGATGCTCCAACAAGCCCTGGAGTTCCCTCTGTCTTTCTCTCTCGATCCTCATGAGCAGATCAATGAGAGCTTGCCTTCCCCTCAACCTCAGCGTATCTCGGCGTACATGCTCAGGTGGGCTGTCATCACGATCAGAAACCATTCTCTCCCTAACAGTTTCTCTCTCCCTAGCTTGCCCACGGGTTCTCTCAACATGCACACCTGAGCCCAATCCTTGCTCCCTCCTACTAACACGAGCATCTCTTTGCTGACTAGTCATCTGAACCCACTCTCTCACTAACCTCACTCTCTCTCTCTCCGTCTCCCCAAGCCACTCAGCCCTGGGACTATTCCTCTGAGACACATTTGATGCATGATCTCCAATTCCACTATCTGTCATCCAACCTCGAACAATTTGCCGCACTCTCTCTCTCTCCCCATCCCCAAGATCAGGACTTTGCTCTCTACTAGAACCCCGATCTCCATTTTCATTTTGCCCATGAACCCATGACCCATATTCATTCTCACTGTCGGCTCTTGGAGCCTCAACACTCTGAGTATTCTCCAACCACCTCGACTCCTCTGTATCATCACTCGCAATTTCAGACCTCCCATGCTGCTCACTAGCATGGCTCGTAGTCCCAGTGAAGCTAGTGAGAGAATTATCTGTATTTCTCTCCCTTACCCCATTGAAACTAGAAAGAGAATTATCGCCATTCCTCTCTCTTCCCCCATTAAAGCTAGAAAGAGAATTATCAATATTTCTCTCCCTTCCGCCATTAAATCCCATGAGAGAATTATTGGTGCTTCTCTCTCTTCCCGCACGAGCTGGACCTTCTTGCCTGTTATACCGTGAATCTTCGGAGTGAGAAAGCCTTGCACGTGCACGATTCAAAAGGTGCTCATCCTCAAGCTCCCGCCACATTTGGAGAAGTGAGGAAGCTTGGGCCGTGGGCCTCTCGACCACCCCTTGCCCTTGTCCTCCCCCTCCTCTTGAAGTGGGTGACTCCCTCAAAAATGAAGAGTCAAGCATGGAAACAGTGTGTAAACCAGCTAAAGCCATGAGTTCAGATTCCCTATTTCTCCTCTCAATGGTGGTGATCATTTCTTGGGCTTGTCGAGCCGCCCACCTGCTCAAAATACGAGAATGGCGCCTCCTTGTTCGAGAAGCTGAGGACTCGGCAAGATCATCTCTCTCTAGATCAGACCTCCTCCTCCTTCTCACTAACTGATCACTTTCCTCCTCATCTTCTTCTTGCCGATCCTCTAATTGCATTTGGTCACCAAAGCAACCAAGTCGACATGGTGGGTCACCCACGTGTTCATGACACTGGACACTCATGCTAGAGCCAGGTTCACAGTTGCAGGTAGAGAAGGAAATGTGGGTACCAAGACGACCTCTTACTATCTGTTCTAGGCCCCTTCGGAACTCGTTGTGAGCATCCAGTAGTTCAGTCTGGTCCTGCTTCAATGTTTGAAGGTGATCAGTCATTGTTCACCTGGTCTCTCTCTCTCTTGATCTACAGAGACGAGGCTGCAGAAACCCTATCTCCTCCATCCAACATCGAAAGCTATTCTAAAACCCTCTATTACCCTCTCTATAAATCACTATTTCTCTATCTCTCCCTAGATCAAACTGAAACAAAAAATTCTAGCATTAGGCAATTGATTCCATCTTCAAAACCCAAAAATTTATTCTTAAAAAACACATATTTGGAAATTGAAAGCGTCAATTACAGTACTTTTTCTCAGCAAAATTTGACGCTAGAAAAATGGCGAGTATAGAGTACGATCAGAGTTAATGAGTAAGGTAACTCAACCCCAAGAGATAATCAAAAACTTCAGAGCATATAGAAAGCCTTACATATAAGTACAAGACAGCAAATCCCTAAATTTACCAATACCCATTTGGAAGACGTAGAGAGAGAGACTGGTTCAAAAAAAAAAAACAAAGATGTAGTCATGTAGAGAGAGAGATACAGATTAAATAGCAATATAAAAATAGAGAGAGAGATGCAATCAGAGAGGCAAAACTAAATTGAAAAGAAGCAGAGGCTTCAGTGCAGCTAGGGCAAATATAGAGAGAGAGTAAAGAAAATGCTCATACCAGTAGAACTGAAGAGGCATGCCCTGAAATTGCCAGTAAATCAACAAGGAGGAGAATGAAATGAAGAAGTCGAGGATTATTAGATCTCAATTTATACAGAGAAATCACAGGATTATTATTCTGGGTTTGATGAAGATAGCAGGAAATCTGAGGGTTCCTCTTTTCTTTCAACTAACCCAAACGCGCCGCCCATCCCGAGAAGAGAGAGAAAGGAAGCGGATTTTTAAAAGATGAAAATGCATATAGAGAGAGAGAGAGCGAGAGAGAGGGGTATAAGAATACACCGCCGAGTGAGGAGCAAGTAAATGAGAAATTTGAGAGTTGAATTTAAGTGAGAGAAAAGACAAGTTTCATGGGATTAGGGAGGGAAAACCATGCTCCGGCGCGAGTAAACTGTACATTTACTCACTTGTGTGCAAGAGCTATTTGGGTAGGGGTGGCAGTGGAACGGGTCGGGTCGGGACCCTCTTCTGGCAAACCAAACCCCATTGGACTCGACTTTAAAATAATATATATATATATATATATATTAACTTTTTTTTTAATTTTGAGTAATGATCTTATAGGATCCTCCCCTAATCATGTATGTAAGATTCAAAGAATCATCATTAAAGTTGGCACGGATCTCTAAAAAAGTTATTAAGAGTGGGATTTGACTTTTCTATAGATCCGTGTCAAATTTAATAGTAATCCTTTAAGGTCCTACACACATGAGTGGGGGAGGGTCTTATAGGATCATTTCTCTTAAATTTTATATTAAACATGTACATGTATTATTTAAATATTATAACTAAAAATTTAGTTATACTTATTTAAATATTAACTAAATATTAATTAATATCATATATATAATAGCATTATTCAAGTCATGTTCACATGGATCCGGACATGAATAGTATTTAGGTCCAATATTTGGAGCTGGACCTGAGTCGGGTCCGAATCAATTGCCACCCCTATATTTGGGAAATTTTTTAGAATAAAACTTTGAAATGCATTTAAAAATCAGTATATGATAATCATTATCATCATCATTATAGCTTTGTCTCAACTATTTGAGATAAGCTATATGAATTATCAGTTATTTTGTTATATTAAAGGTCATACATTTGATAAAATCACAAGTCTCCATGTTTTTTCAATAATTATTATATGATTAATTTAAAAAATTATATTCTAAATTCTTAAACAATAAGATCTAGCGTTCCAAAAATTGGTCCTTCATGTCCAATTTTCAAACATTATTTTTTCTAAGCGTATAGATGCTACTCTCGCAAGAGCACGATACCTTTGGGCTTAATTGAAGCACGGCCTTTGTTTTCTTTGCGTCCACGTCATATTTCTCCATGAGCCACAGACACGTTACACGTGGCAACAGTCCTAATCATCAAACGCCCTCATTTGTTCAGAATGTAAAGATAACCTTCAGATTTCCAGGTATATCCCTATAAACTTTGTTAACTTTCCTTATACCCTCTCATTAACCGTGAGGCCTCCACCGAATTTCTTGGAAATAGCAAGTGCTTTATGGGAATTATTTGTTTTTACAAGTCGCCAGCACGTAATCGGCGCCGTAGCGCCGGAGCGTCATGGCCACGTTTACACAAAACATATCAAATGATCATAAAAAGTAAGGAAATATCTAATATACCCCCTTCCGCAGCATTACGACAAAAGTGCAACTTAGGAGGGTCTAGTGGGCAAAAGGGTGCGGTTTGTTTTGAGCCGAGGCTCTAAACAATCAAAGTAATACGTACCTTCATATAGTATCGAGAAATGTGGTTTCAATAATGAAAATTTTTGTAAAAGCCTTAAATAATTTTTCATCTTTAATTATAAAATTTAAAGTTTCAAAAATCGTGTAGATCGAACAGATTTATGAAAATTAAAAAATCTTGAAAAATTGGTGGTCCAAAAAAACGTTATAAGATATACTATTTTCAAAACTTAAAATTCATTTTTTTCTCATGTCCATGCATCTTGATGTCGAGATGATCAATTTGAAGATATTTGAGCATCAAAATATCTTCTAATGGAAATTTTGCGGTGGCCCTGCCCGGCCTGGCCTTGGTAGGGCAAAAGCCGAGCCTAGGCCAAGGCATCCTCAGACCGAACCAACCCTCAAGGAAATAGGGTTGGCTCCGCCGGTTGCCAAACCCTAGTGTACGATAAGGGTTATTAATTTTGAAAAAGTTACTCTATAACCCAAAAGTTTTAAAAGTAACAATTATTTTAGCCAAAAAAATAGTGCTTTTTTTAGGATTTTATTTGTACCACGTATTTTCATGTTTTCATTATACAATTTTTTGAATTTCAAATATCTTAATAATGGTAAAAATAGATTTTCAGGTCACCACGAGTTTCTCATACTACCTTTTTCAATTAGGATTTGAAGTGAGATTTTACAACTAGGATTTGGAAAGTAAAAAGAGTGTTGCTTATAAAGTCTACATTTGTAGTGGGTTAAATACCCACATCATGGTATCTGATGGTAGCTGGACTTGATTAAATATAAGTGGAGAATTCGTCCCCCCTTTCTTCGTTGGGAGAGTATATTCTCAACATTTTTAAAAATTTTAATGGCTTTTATTTTTAGGGGCTTTGTTTTCCCCTGTTAGGAAGGGACAATAAAATCATACGCTCTCTAAATCTTGACCGTCGATTTCCGTGGCCAGTGTAGATCTAACGTTGATGGATGAGACCCACATTCAGGTAGTGTGGGGCATCCATTACTTGATCTAGACCGGCCACAGAATAAGATATTTAAATAGCCACAGCAGTAGGCTAAAATTTGATTGTTTAGACCTTTGGCTGTATATAAATTTTTCCCATTTAAATAGGGTGTGGTTTGTATAGAGCTTCGACTCTAAACAATCAAGTTAGAGCCTACTTTCAAATAGTATCGAGAAATGTAGTTTCATATCGAAAATCCTTTTGACAGCCTTAAAATATATTTTTATTTTTATTTATAAAGTTTAAAGCTTCAAAAATAGTGTAGATTGAGAGATCTACGAGAAACTTGAAAATTGATGGTCCAAAAATATGTTAGAAAATATACTATTTTCAAAATTTAAAATCTATTTTTTTTGTCATGTTCATATATCTTGATGTCGAGATGATCAATTTAAAAATATTTAAACATCAAAACAACCTCTTTTAATGAAATTTTTTAAATAGGTTCAAATTTGATTATTTTGAACCTCAGCTTTATATAAACTTTTCCAATTTAATTATGCCCGCCACTTTTACTCCTTATTGTACGATGTTCTTTTACTCCATGTTGTACGTAACAGTTACGTACGTTGCAAAGAGGAGAGAGGCTCGAAAAGTGCTTGTGCCAAGCTACAATAGAGTTGGATGGCACACTTTATTCTCGTATCGGAGCGAGCGGTGCCTTTAGTGATACGTTTGTATGGTTTTTCTTTTTATATGGTAATATATATTTTTCATAAATTTGTTGATATATAATGCCTTTGGCCATATACAAACTTTTATATGTTTCATTAAAGTTTTGATGTACAAATGTAAAAGCGTGTGGTAAGGGGTTGTAGGCAGAGGTGTCTTGATGGTGGGTGTAACATTGTGATGTCTAGAGTTCCACTTCCAAATGGGCTTCTTTGCTCCCCTTTGATTGATTGGGGCTTCTTTGCTCCCCTTTGATTGATTGCATTGTGTTATGTGAGCCTCATATTTGTGATATATTTTTTATTATTTTGGCTAATATTAGATAGTGTTTTGGTCATGAGTATTGATTTTTATATTTTTTAGATTATTTTTATGGATGATATATAATGATAACATTTACCTTTGATATAAGGAGGTCACAATTAATTACAACCATCCAATGTGTAATCTAATAGCTTGAGTCTGTCACAAAGTTTGATAAATTTTTTATTTGAAATTTGAGTTTGGTCAATAGAATAAATGTAACCATCCAATTTTACATCCAATGGTCAAGATTAATTATGATTACCTTGTACCAAATATAAATGGTCTCATTGTATACTTTTCTCTATTTTTAAAATACCTGTAGTTATAAATTATTATTTTCAAAATCTATTTTTTATATTGTTTGAACTTCATTTAGATGTGTTTTGTTTAATTTTACTTTAAGTATATTTTCGGTACTTTTTAGAAGGGGAAAGTTTATATAGAGCTTAGGCTCTAAACAATCAAATTAGAACCTGCCTCAAAACTTCTACTAGAAGAGGTTGTTTTGATGCCAAAATATTATCAAATTGATCATCTCCATATCAAGATGCATGGACATAAAAAAAATGGATTTCAAGTTTCATAAATAGTATATATTTTAACACATTTTTGGACCGTCAATTTTAAATATTTTCAAGTTTTCATAGATATGCTCGATCTACACTATTTTTTAAGCTTTAAATTTTATAAATAAAGATGAAAATATAATTTAAGGCTTTCACAAAATTTTCCAATATTAAAACCATATTTTTCAATACTATTTAAACATGTGATCTAATTTGATCGTTTAAAGCCTCCGCTCTATACAAACCGCACCCTTTTTAGAATTGTTTATATATTTACTGTCATATCAAAAGAAGGTAATTATGGCCGACGTTGCCAACACACCATGCAAAGGCCAATTTTAGTTTCCTCTCCTCTTATTCACCCTTATATGCATGGAGACATCTATGCATGCCAGGTACAAAATAGTAACTCCTTGAAATGGAGAACATGCATAGTACAAGAAGTATTTAGGAGTCAACAACAATGGTGTGTGTATATCTAATATATATAATTGTGTGCTCCTTTAAACATGTCTCCATGTATATAAAAAAATTGTCTTTAATAAATAATAGCACACCATTCATAGAGAGCTTATATTTATGAATGGTGTTCCATCCAAATTCAAAGTCATAATGAAACTCTAAAAATATATATAATCAAGTATGGTTCTATGGACAGAAGCTCACAAATATACAAAATTTCATCTCTACGGTTAGTCATGGAGAAAAATATAAATTTATACTTTAGTTAACTGAGAGAGTAGAATGACGAATCAAGATTAGCCCACCTTTAAAAAAAAAAAAAACATTAACTTATAATGATTATGATAATTTCAACTATAAACAGCTGAAATATGTCCCAATATTTGCTCCAAATGCCTACAAATGGTATACTTTAAGGCCAGTCAATAGAGAGACGAGAGAGAGAGGAAACAAGGTTAGAGAGAGAAAGAGAGTTTGGGGTAAGTACAGGTGACATTAGAGAAAGGGTCCCAATGGAAGGATTTCACT